GCGCGGTCGCGTTCTGATGAGCTAATTTTCCACCACCACCACCATTACCATATAGGAGAAGGAGAAGGAAGAGGAGGAGGAGGAGGAGGAGGAGGAGGAGGAGGAGGAGGAGGAAGAGGAGCAGGAGGAGGAGGAGGAGTAGGAGTAGGTCCGTTGCCATTTTGGCTCAAGGTTCGGGACAGGCCCGAGGTTGAGTGAGGCAGCTCTCCGTTCAGAGCGTTCCAGCTGTCAGAGGCTGGCGGACACCTTTCTTCGCACATCCCATTCTCTCATGGCCCATGCCCCTGCCCTGGAGGGATTCACTCTCGTGGAGACCAAAGGCAAGGCCGACAGCAAGGGCTCCGCCGACCCGTACCCCACTGGTGCTGGCCGCGGCAAAGGTGGGGGCGCCTCCGCCCGCGCGCAGGCCACCTCCGCCGCCGCCGCGGCCGCCTCCGCCGCTGAACTCTCGTCCACGCAGACCGCATGGCTCTCCAGCGACGACGGCTACTTCACCGAGAGCCAGCTCGTATCCGCCACCCCGCCGGCTGGCGCTATGGAAGAGTCTGACGACCGTTCTCCTCCTGCCGCTCCTCCTGGGAGCATCGACGAGCTTCGGGCCTACGTCGAGGACACCAAGTCCAGCGTCCTCACTGGCATGGCCGCCATGCGTCAAGCCATGGCCGCGCTTGAGAAGTCTATCTCCGTCCACGTTCAGGGACTCAGCTGCCAGGTTGAGCAGCGGCTCGCCAAGCAGGAGGCCTCCACCAAGACGCTCCAGACTCGAATGGACATCATGGCGGGTGAGATCGCGGAGCTCAAGAAGGCCCTGCTCCTTGTCCAAAGCTCCGACCCCGTCCCCTCCCCTGAGGCCGCCTCCAGCAACTTCGAGCGGAAGACCGACCCCTCCATCCTCGTCCTCCGCTCCAACTCTTTCGTCACCATGGCCTCGGTCCGCTCCGCCATCACCCCCTGGCTTGCAGACGCCAATTTTGAGGACTCGTTCTGGCGCCTGGAGGGACAACCCGCTGGCAAAAGATTCATCATACGTGTTCGTGGTGCCCCTGGCTGGTCGTCCAGGATGGTTTCCCAAGCCCTGTCAGCGATGCGTGTGGGAGACGGAGAATTCCGCCGCCTTCAAGCACAAACTTCCACGGGGGAATCGTGCCCCCTCTACGTCTCGGCCGACAAGAACGTGTGCCAGGTGCGGCGGGAACTGGCCACCAAGCTGGCCAGGCGCGCGATGTCCGAGACCTACCCCAACGTCCAGCTGCACGCCGACAAGGCGACAGGCATCATCAGCTCCAACTGGAAGCCGCTCATCAGGGTCACTCCCAGGCTTTCCGAGCCGACGCTGGTCGAATGGGAGACCACCAACCTCACCGCCGCAAACATGTCCCGCGAGAACTTGGAGGCCCGCATCACCGCCGCCCTGGCTTCTACCTCCTCTGGCGCTGCTTCCTCCCCAGCTGGGGCGCAGTGGTGCCTTTAACGACTGGTTCCGACTTACCAACCGCGCCTCCGTCTCTGAGTTTGGATTCGGGACCTGGAATGGGAGAGCTCTCTTTCACCATGATATGAAATTGAGATCGCGGAAAACCTCTTACCTCGGCGCAATGCTCAAGGGCTTTCGGGTGATTGCGCTCCAGGAGACGCACGGCAGCGAGTTCGACGTTACCGACTTCTTACACTTCTCAGCCTCGGGGTATGAGGCACACCACTCTTTCTTCTCCGAGCTGAACAAAGGCGGCGTGGTCACCCTGCTGCCGAAGATCTCCTCTCTCCCTGGGGATGGTAAATACGTCGACTCCACCGTGCTGGTACAAGGGCGTGCCCTGCACACGAAGATTTGCCTCGGCGCGGTCAACGGCTCCGTCAACGGCTCCCTCCACTTCATCTCTCACTTCAACATCCACAACTTCGGGCTCTCCTCCGCCCAGACCAGCCACATCCTGAGCGTCATCCGCCACGAGCTCGAGATCGCGAGCCGCGACTCGGAGCACTACCTGGTCGTGGTCACGGGCGACTTCAACATTCCGCGTGACGCCCCTCTGCCTGCGCATCCCCTGCCTGGGGGGCTGGCTGAGGACCCTGCCGCACCCGAGTTCCGCCGGCTGCTCCGCTCACCTTGGCAGCAGATTTTCAACGCGATGGTCGAGCTCGACCCGCAAGACAATACGCACTACAACGGCTCTCGCCAACACACATCCGCCATCGACCGCATCTTCATTTCCTGGCCAGGCTGGATCCTCACTCTACTACACCTCACCTCCGACGTTCGGGACCTCCCTGAATCGCTCGAACAACGGGGCCTCTCAGATCACGCTCCCATCCTGGCCTCGCTGCGTGCTCGACCTCCCCCTTCCCTGGACGACAGGCCGATTCCCAGATACCTGTTTGAGCACCCGCAGTTCCAGAAGTATGTGGATGCCACCTGGCCCGCCATTGACATCTCGGAGCTTTCCCCCCCTCTGGCCCTGGACATGTACAAAACCGTCCTAAAGGAGGGAGCCAGGTACGCCAGGGACGCGCTCTTCCAGGACGAACCCTCGAACCCCACTTCGAAGTTGTTGATCATGCGCTCCTCTTCCAGAGCTGCATGGCGCCAAGATCGCCGATTAGCTGAACGTCTCCTTCGCTATCCGTTTGCCCGAGAAATCCTGGAGGTCTCTGAGGAGGGACGTGTGCGTTTCGTGGACCCTGCCCGCTTTTCTACTCTGCTGGACGAGCTACAGTTTGCGGAGGCCGAGTCCGCCCAGTCCTCTATCCGTCGCGAGCTGGCTGCTGCTGACGCCCAGCAGGCTCCCGCTCACGCACGTGCGAAGCTCAAGAAGCGGCTTCGGAGGCTCATACAGCGAGCCAAGATTTGGGCGCCATTCGGACGGCGCACGGAGCTTACTGGAATTCGATCACAAAATGGCCCGATTGTCTCGTCTTCCGAAGAAATGCACCACGAGATTACCACACATTGGGGCCCCGTCTTCCAACACAAAAATATCGACGAGGCTGCCGCCAACATGTACTTGAATAGGTTCTGCCCCAAGATCGATTTCGCTAACATCGCCCCGCCCACGAAGCCCCAGATGGAGTCTTACATTCAGAAGCTGTCCCACTCAGCCCCTGGCCCCGACGGTCTCCCATATGCCGCGTACCAACGCTCCTCTTTCTCATCATCGGTCCTATTGTCGGTCATGTGGTGGATTCTGGGTGGAAATGCTATGATGGTAGGTTTCAACGACATGATAGGCGTCTTCATCCCCAAAGGCTCCGAGACCGAGGACACCCTCAGAGGCTGCGTGCGGGCCCCCAACAACTTGCGCCCCCTTGGCCTCAAAAACACGGACGTCAAAATCATCACAGGGACGATCGTACGTCGGCTCTCGCGTGCTCTCCCAGAGGTGGTGTGCAAAATTCAGAGGGGGTTCGTGCCGTCCAGGAACTTCGGGAACAACATTGTGGAGCTCGATGGGGCCTCGAGGGAGTACTCCCAGCAGGACGACGTCTCCGTAGCCATGCCTTTGCTCGTCAGTTTCGATTTTCAGCAGGCCTTCCCAAGTGTGGCCCATCAATGGCTCTTCTTGGTTCTCCGTCGCGCAGGATTGCCCGAGGCGCTATGTTGGTTCTTCGCCGAACTGTACCGCTGCGTCCAGTGCTGGTCGGCTAATGCGTGTTCTTCGTCCATCAACAACTCCGTCTATGGGAACGCTGCGCTGCTCTACTACATCCAGAGCGGCATAGTGCAAGGTTGCCCTGGCTCGGGCTTCTTGTTCGCAGTGGCCGCGGACCCGTTCATGCTCGACTTCGACTGGAGTATCAACCGTCGTGCTCTCGGATTGGTTCGTGCCTGCGCTGACGACGTCGGTGCCGCCATCAGGACCATCAGGGCGCTCAAGATCTTCTTCCGCATCTTTCGGGCTGCCGCTCGTGTTGCTGCCCTGGTGCTCAAGCCGTCGAAGTGCAAGATTGTGCCATTATGCGGCCCGTTCTCGGAGGAGACTCACGACCGATACGCTCAGTGGATCACCGACCATATCCCGACATGGTCTACGTTCAAGATTGTTCCAGAACTTCTATACCTCGGACTTTTTCTCGGACCCGCAGTGCATCTTCAGAGCTGGCACGCACCAATCCAGAAATGGAGAGAACGTGGCCTGATCCTCGCACTGCAGCAGGGGCCACGCCGTGTGACTGCTCAGCTCTACTCGTCAAGGGTCACCAGTGTTCTGACATACGTCGCCCAGTTCATGCCGCTCCCAGCTGAGATTCTCTCAAGTGAGGCCGCGCTTCTTGCCCGCCTGTGGCGTTCGCCACATTGTGTGATCTCTCGCGCAGGATTCTTCAACCTCTGGAGGTGGGGAGGGCCGAAGTTCCCGAGCGCTCTCATTCTGTCGTCGGCCACTCTCCTTAGATCCAGTGCCACCACCCTCCAGAGCTGGCCATCCGTCCTTGCCTCTCTCCGTGAAACCGCGGACCGATGCCTGCCCCTCCCCATCCGTGCTGCTGGATCTCTGTCTCCCTCATTCTGGTGCCAGCCATCGTTCGCGGAATTCCTGTCCTCCGCCGCAGCTTGTTATCCTACCAACATCGGGCAAGATCTGGTCACCTCCTCCTCCCCCGCTCGCGAGCTCCTCGCTGCTGCTGCCACCTCTGCTGTTACCTCGCTCCCTCCTCCTCCCCCGAATCGCCGTGCCAAGATCCAGGGAAAGCTCGCCCTGACGCTTCTAGAAGTTCGATTTCCCGACCCTTTGGTCGGTATTTTCTGCAAGCGATTAAACGCCTGGCTTCCGGTTTCCCTGGAGACCCTCGCCGAGTGGCCCTGGTCCGAAACCCAGCACTGTCTCTTGAAGCTTCCTCCGGTCCAATCGAATGCGATTTTGAAACTCCTCGTCAACGGATGGACGACGGAGGCCCGCTTTCAGAAGCCTGCCCTATGTGTGCTAGGCTTTTTGTGGTTTGTTGTTTTTTGCATTAGTTTTGTTTTGGTTTGTGTTTGGTTTATTATGCTATTTTACTTCTGTTTG